ACGTGATGGCACGAAGCAATCTCACCCAGCTCTGAGGACACGCCACGTGATGGCACGAAGCAATCTCACCCAGCTCTGAGGACACTACGTGATGGCACGAAGCAATCTCACCATCATCATTTCGATGCCGTACAGGCATTCCAACCACCCCCGAAAACCCAACTACGATGTTTTTAAAGTCTCTCTAAGGAAACATCCTTGGCTCGTGATTTTTTAAAAGTATATTGTAAAATACTTTTAAAATAAGCTAAGCTTAAGTAAAGAAAATAACTGAGTCAAGAACTCACCATGGCAATAAAGCGACCAATGAAACAAAAGTAAGACAGGTGGTCAGGATTAATCGTTGACGCTGGATTTATCTGCAAGCAGTAGTTGTTCTTGCCGGCATACTCAAATAAGCAGTACATGGGGTTCAGAACTTCATGAGAAAGCAAGAAAAACCATTCTCTGTAAGAAAAGAAACCAACTTTAAGGTTTTTTGCATTCATAAATATGTGAATTCGAACTCAGGCCTTAAATACACATGCACATATAATTTGCCAGTGCTCATAGCTGTTAGCTCGTGCCTGATTCCTCATATTTCCAGTTAAGCCATTTGTGACCTGCCCTTCCCTTCAAGGTTACCTGCCAATTCCTGTGCTGAAACCAAACTTTCTCACACATAACACACTTACCTCTACGTTTCTCAATTGCACTTGGCTCGTCTAGATCCCAGCCCTCAGCACTTTGTAAATTCCTATAGAGCTTCTTGTTCCTGTCAGTTACTCACAACTTCATGGAAACAACCTTAAAATAACGGTTTCCTTCTAAGCACGTAAGTGGCTCCATCTACCAGACTGTCAGTTCCTCAAAGGCAAAATTCACGTCTTTAGATAGTTTTGAAACCGGAGACCTTACAGGTTTTAATAAATATTTGTTGGTGATACTAAGGAACACACTGTACAGTATTATTGCTATAAAAGAGTTTTAACTTTTATTGTTAAAAGTTCCTTAAAAACGGACCAAGGTGGAATCACTGAAATGAACAAGGTGAAATCTTTTAGCATGAGAAGCCATTTCCTAACTTAACATGTATTTTAGCCTTGCTTTAAAAATGTCTAATATAGAAAATCCAACTAGGGAAAGGATTAGTATTTATACCACAAAATAAATCATTTTCAAAGGGTTCTTTAGAGCCATTTCTTCTAAAGGAAGGTTCCAAATTCAGATCAGTAAAGAAGTAAAAAAAAACCTGCCTTCTCCAGGTGGCCCTCAAATGTTCTACTAGCCACAAACCCTAATAAAAATCAGTGTTGGCTTCAGGGAAAGAGTGTTTCTAGGCATGTCCTCCTGGTCCTGGGCCACTGGGACTAGAACGGAAAGGCGACCGTTACCATGTGAAAAGGTAGGAATGTAGGTCTGATGTTTATAAAGAAGCCAGAAATCTTAAGCAGTAGGCAAAATTTCATGATTTTTACATGTTATTAATTTAAAGTTTTTAATGCCACTATGCATGCTGGGTTTGGCCCGGCAATCTGGGGGCACACTCTTTCTAAAATACCACAGCAAACTGTCTGAAAGGCAGAAAGGGAGGGAAATAGTTAACGGTCTAGACCCTGTACAGTCTGCTGAAAACTGACAAGTAACAATTCACAAAATGAAACACAGCGTCAGTCACTAGCCTCAAATAGCAGTTGCACCAAGTTCCGTTCCCTCTGTGAAAGGCTCCGGGAAGATCGGCCCCAGGGGAGAGAACTGAGCCATCTAGGAAGAGCTTGGGCAGAGGGCGTCTCAAGGAGCCCTCACCTGGTCTGGGAAAAGCAGCACACCAACCGAAGGACGACAGAAGGGTTTCAAATCAGACTCACCGTCAAAGGAAGGGCTGGATTACAACTTCAGCTCTGAGCACCTGGTTTGCAGAAGACTGGTCTACAGTGGAAGCCCTAATCCACTTTTGAGTATTTACATGGACTCAACCCCATGTTTAAACATATTTTTCTTGGAATAAAGTTGTGCATGTATAAACTGGGCACCCCCCACCCCCAAGCAACCATGTGTGTCTGTGAACACGCCTGTGCCTACAACCACAAATGTGAGGATGTATGCCTAGAAAATGGACAGAAGGACAACAAAGATTAGAAATGACCTCTACTTCTACAATTATGGAATACTTAAATTTTTATTCTGAAAAATAAGTTTGGATTGCTATTGAAAATCCATAATCAAAAAGAAAGAAAACCCATAATCAAGCCAATCCATAGAGCTTTTGCAGGTACACATCCTTTGTATATAAGACACTTATTTCAAAGCATTGATGCGATTTTTAAGAATTTTACCTTGCTAAGCCACCATAATCAAGTCCTTCTTCTCCTCGGAATATTACGTACAGTCGCCTCCGCAAGTCATATGGTTTTAATGCCATAATCTATGAAAATAAAAATATAGTTTACATAGTAGAAATTTCACTCACAAAAAATGAGTTTACAATTCATCTGCATTTTCAGAGTTAAAAACTTCCTTCTCTTATACAACAAAGTCTGTAATTCAAGAAATCAACCAATTTGCTTCACAAACTAAACAAAAGACCTATCCTATCATCTTTCTTATTCACTTTCATAGTCTCTTCCTTCATCCTAACAGCAAATAGCATTTATCCATCATTTTGGCACAGAACTTCCTTAGGGTGAGAAAATACTCCCTATCTCCACTCATCTGAAGACAGTGTCTGGTCTTTTTATGGTGACTTGTAAGTTTTTCTAACTAGTGACACTTATGAGAGGCCAAAGATCTTGTGTTGTTCCCTGCATATAACACACATTCTTTTCACCCAAAAAGTAATCAGCAAAACAAAGACATTTTTATCAAAGAATAGATTTATAGACAAATTTCATCTTAAAAATCACCTCTACCAAATTTTAGAAAGTTGAGTAATTTGATTTACATGAAGGCTACAAGGAAGTAGTTTTTACTTTCAGATAAAAATGAATGCTTTTCCCCAGCCATGTCTTAGAGCCACAGTAAGGCTGGATCAGAGCGCAGCACACCAGCAGGGCTCGGCCTCAGGGCGGTCATGGCCCAGGCCTACACGCCACAGTCAAACTAAAGTGAAAAAACACCGTGAATTTGTATGCGTACTATAACACAGCTCAAACGGGCCTGGATCCATTTGACACCTCCTTATTTTGGGATGAATGCATGCCTCAACTCAAACAAGCAACACTCTTCGGGAAATAGCTACATCAACTAATTTGATCAAAGTCCAACAGTGAGTAAAAGTGAGCTACGGTTTGTTTGCCTCTCTGACTTCAGAGCGTTGTTCCACTCGGCCTGAATAAGCAGAGGAGGTAAACATCCCTCTGTACTTGTGCATGCCCTTCGAATACTCAGGAGAGAACAGGAAACAGTCTCCCTTCATCAGGAAAAAGGAACTAACAACATTCAAATTTGCTATCTTTAAATATTTTGCAGATAATTTAGGAAATGTGGACATATTACATTCATGTAATAAAATCACCAAATCTTTTTTTAATATCTGCGCTGTGTTAAGTACTACTATACGTATTGTGCGTAACAGCAATAAATAAAATATTTTTTCCTTTCAGGAGACTTACAGTCTAGCAAAGAGAAAGAGACACCAAGCAATTATCTGTTGTCTGCTGGTGATGAATGTTGGAGCGGATCAAGTACCACACATGGACAGAGTGCACCTGTGTGTTTGGGCTGGCAAAGACAGCTACTGCACATAGTGTGTTCAGCGCAGGCTTCTCAGAGATCAGGGCATTGAAGAAGAAACCTACAGGAGGTGACGTGTAGCATGTGGGCTACTAAAGAAACTTTCAAGTGGAATACAGCACCTACCAACTTGATTTTTATTTGCTAGTGATCATCAAAACTTTTGCTGTTGATAAATTCACAGCAATAAATCAATACATTCTTAGCAAAATGAGTGTCCAAGTGGATCAGCTAGTTCCAAACTCTTTTTCAGTTTACATATTAGTAAGCATACATCTAAATTCGTGGTAGAATTCCTGTGTCCCACGGAGAGCTGACTGCTCCATAGTCCGTGTGAACTGAGTGTGTCAGAGTCCGACCGACAGCCATGGGAACACGAAAGTAGTGAAGTCCCTTTACTTGTACATGAAGACAAAGACAGGCACCAGCTCAGAGAGATCTTGTGAGGATCGATTACATGAAACAATAAACGGAAGATGCCAGAGCCAAGCACAGGGTGATCGCTCAAAACCCGGCAGGTTTGATTATTACAACGACCACAGGAAGTGGCGAGCGGCAGCCATTATGACAGCCGTGCATGGAAGGTTTGAAATTTCTACAACTCCCTCTTCAGACATGCAGAGACGGGGAGAGAGCACTGTTACATTCTCACAGAGCTTCCCCACCTGTTGGAAGGAATCTTCAAACAATGTCTGCCGGGACACGTTGATCTTGACGTGGCTGGGTAGTGCATTCGACTAGAAACAAAAATAACATCGTAATAGCATGTAAGTTACATATCTGTACTGTGTACATGAAGAGCGAATGATTATGAACATAACACTTATTTACCACTGTAGTACCTGGCACAAATAACGGAAGTGAGCAAGTTTCCACCTAAAGCTGCGTTCATAAGCGATTTGTGGACCACCTTTAGTTCTGTAAGAAAACAAAAACAAACAGCATATATAAATTTGTCATGAAGTTGAATATTTAGTATTCAATATGAACTCGAGTACCCAAGAGTCTTAGAAAGAAGCACTGGGCCGTTATTTACTGACAGGGAGGTAGAGGTTGATTCAGTGGGACAATAGAAGCGTGTGCAATGAAGGTTATTGGAGCAACAGGAAAGTGCATTTGTACATCCACATACAGAGGAACCTGAACTTTTAAACAGGTAGATAATTGAAGTGTTCGAGTCTACTACTGATTATTTCAAAGAACACCTTCAGTACCCTTAAATCTAAAAGGACAGAAGCTCTAGATAGAGGGAAATTCTATTACTCCTAAGAATCTACCTCGAAACTGAGACAAAAGCAAAGTCCTAAGGCCGGCTGGCACCTGAGTCACTTGGCTCAGCTGCTAAGTGAGGGAAGAAGCAGAGTGGGGGCAGCTAAAAATATAGGTTTTTGCTTGATGTGATTGAACTATGTAATGATATGATTATATATATAAGGGGGAGGGAGAATACAGGTTTTACTCTTCTTATATGACCTGGGCCTCTTGCCTACAGAGCAAGGCCATAAAGGACAGACACAAAGAACTTCTATAAACACAGGGACACTCTGGAATGGATGGAAAATGTTGTCTTGTGCTGTCCTGCTCCAGTGAAAACCATCATTCCACAAAATGTGCGCCGGGTGCACAGCATGTACCTGGTGCTGTCCTAGTCACTGAGAGCATTAGTTGTTAATAAAACACCATGAAATAGCCTGCATTTGCTATTGAGAAAGAATATACAAATATATAGACTAAGTAAACCAGGGTTCCCTGTGTAGTGTGTTCACTCCTACCTTAAAAAAAAAAAAAGAGAGAGAGAAAGAGGACAGAGTAATAGGGCTCACAGAACAAGTAATATTTGAAGAAAACCTTGGGAAAGAGTCTCCCAAGAGGGAATAAGAGGAGGAGGAAGGTGCTGAAGGTGTCGGAGGCACAGTGGGACCGAGGTGGCCAGTGGAGCTGGGCACAGATGGAGTGGACGAGAGAAAAGCATCCGGTCTGGCAAGGCCGTGTCTGTCGGCCATGGCAAGGCCAACAGATCTTGTGAGGCCTGATAGGCCACTTTAAGGACTTTATTCTCTTTACATTGATTGAATGAAAGTCATCAGTGGGTTTTATGCAGAAAAATGACTTGCATTTTATTAAAATTAAACTTAAAAATGAGCCTCGCGGGTCGAAAGTAGCACAAGAATGGTGGAAGGCTATGGCAGCCCCAGGTGAAAGTGGTGATGGTGGAGACGGTGGGACACAGCTGGATCCACATGTACTCTGAGAGTGAGGTAACCAGAATTCTCGTTGGTTTGTAGGTGAAGTGAGGGAGAAAGAACGTTCAAGGACGATTCCAGGATTGCTAACCTAAGCACATGGAAGACTGGGATTGCTTCCCACTGAGATGGCGAATACTGCCGGCATAGCAGGTTTCCGGGGGCTATCAACCAGGAGCTCGTCTTAGGCACCCAAGTGGCGACAACAGAGGGCAGCAGAATACATAGAGCAGTTTCAGGAGCGAGGCCTGGGCTAGCTCTACAAGTTGAAAGTCATCAGGATATAGATGTTTTTGAAAAGTATGATGCTAAATGAGTGTCCCCAAGAGCGGGGAGATAAGAAGGGAGCGACCAGGGCAGCTCTGGGCTTCAATGTTGAGAGGCTGAGGAGACAAGTAGGACGCGGTGCTATTTCAAGGAAGAAGAAAGGCCAGGCAAGCAGCGGAAAATGCAGGCCCCTCTGGACCACTTTGATATGGATGAGATTTATTGTGTTCAAGGCTCCTGAAAAGTCAAATGGCTTGAGGACTGCAACACCCACCCTGGATGAACCAGAGGCCCCGTGCACATGACAAGTTCAGTGTCAGCACAATTTCCTGGGAGACAGTTTATGATAGGAATGAGAAGTAACACAGAGACAACCCTTTCCAGTGACTCTCCTATAAAGGCAACATTAAAGCGCTCAGCAAAGACATTACTGAATGGGAACCTACACTGCCGGGTGAAAACTCACCCGTGACACACACAGAAAATGCTATTAAAAAACAACGGTCATTAAATAGATTTGAAAAACCGTTGTTTTTCTGCTGTGTTCTAGGAGAAGACATGTCAGTGTGTGTATACTGATGAGAATAATTCAACTGAGAAAGAAAGGGATGCCAGAAAGGTGAAAACTGCTAGAAGAATTAAGTGGTGCCCCAGCTGAGGAACGAGGTGTGAGAGCTCATCTGTAGAAACCGAGGGGAGACAGATGCGGCAGACAGACAGGGCATGATGGTGGGATTCAGCAAATGACCTGCTTTGATTCTGTGTTCTCAGTGAAGCAAAGCGGTTATACTTAACAATAACAATAAGGTTATACTTAACAATAAGACATCTTTACTTAGAAAATGCAATTTCTTTGACCATCTCCACCTCGATGTCACAGCAGTCTGATGTGGCTGCTTGGACTGTGCACAGACTCTGGAGACAGACTGTCTGGTGTAAAACCCAACTCCATCACTAACCACGAGGATTTTTGCATGTGTTTCTTACACTCCTTACATGTTAGTTTTCACTTGGAAAGGGAGTGGGGTGGGGACAGTACCAACACTTAACAGTTTAAAGGGGTTGTTGTAAGACAAAATGAGCTAATAGATGGGGCTTGAAAAAGTGTGTTGAAAAATTCCATTATCTTTTAATTCTCTTTTCCCACAAGCTTCGGGAAACCTCCCTGGCTCTATGCAAGGTGCTTAGCGAAATTCAAGGCAGGTGTTATTACTAAGGAATGATATTCCACAAATGTATTCTGCTACGGGGAGAATAAAGCCAGGTGTACTTGATGGGTTTTCCAGAGTCAGAAAGTAAGCTTTGTTGGTACACTTGAGGCTAAACTAAAGACTAACACTCGTGCCTTCATTGCAGAGTAATTTAAGAAGAGTGTCAGGTTTTTACTTACACAGATGACTTTCCATTTCGAGGATCTTTGAATGTTGTTGTTCTTGTGTTATGATCAACGAAGTACCTAACACCTTCTCTCGTATACCTAATTTCCCAGCCTTCTGGCAGGGGTTCCTCATTCTGCAGGCTAAAAGAGAAGACGTTACAGCACAGAGTAAGCGTTTTCTAGGCCCTGAAAGCATCCCTCGGGTCTGTCGAGAGCAGACAAGGCTAACATAAACAAGGCTGCCCGGCATGCGCACCCTTGCGTTCTTGGATCTTCCCACTGAGTTGTTTTTGTATTATGATTCACAAAGTAAACTCTGTCCGTTGAATCCACTCTTTTTTCTAAAAAAGAAGGTGCACATAATAGCATTTAGTAATTCTTTAGTGGATACATACCTTGTAGATATTTAAAACAACGTATGAGCTTACCCCACCCTGGTGGTAAAGGCCCATAGGGGTCGTTCTCTGCAGCTAACATCGAAGCCTGATGGGAAGAGGGGTTTGGAGGAGGAAAAACACAAACAAATCATATTTTAATATAAAGGCAGAGATGCACTTGTCAGAATCATTTTGTCATTTAATAAATATGATAAAAAGAAACATGGGCAAAATAATTCCAAGTCACGAAAGTATGAAAAATGTCATGATGCAAGAGCAGTCAATCCACTAAGAAGATACATTAAAATCAGTATTTTAGCCCCTCTTGTGAAGGAGCCCTGGTGGTGTGACATTTAGCCTTTGGACCGCTAACTGCAAGGTCCGTGGCTCAAACACACTGGCTTTTTTGGCTCCACAGGAGAGACAAGAGGCTATGTGATCCTATGAAGATTTACGGTCTCGGAAACCCTACAAGGGGCAGTTATGGGTTGGCTTCGCCTCCCTGGCAGCGGTCTGACTTGCTTAGTGCTGTTGCGCTGGTTGTAGCCTCACTGTAACCCTATGTTCAAGAGAACACAATGCTATCTGGTCCTGGGCCATCCGCAGAATTATAGCCACTCAGTTCTTCCACAATAGTCCAGGCTGGCCAGATTAGATTGAAGAACAAGGTACACAAACTTACCATGTCTTATGAGGCAGTATGACTTATTTAAAAATTGAACAATTATTGCAGTGTTCTTTAAAAACAATGTCTTTTATTAAAGCTACCATGGAGGGGCTTCTAAAACGTTCATGGAAAAAGCACTCTCCACAGACCGCCCTCCTGTTGAGTGGGTGCCGACTCACAGTTCTCCCCGGGTTCCAGGACTGCAACTCTTTATGGAGGAGCAAGCCCCATCTTTCTCCCGAGGAGCGGCTGGTGCTTTCCAACTGCTGACCTTGCATTTTGCAGCTCAACAGAATGGCTCTTAATTCCATTTTCCATGAACATTTTGAAGCCCCCTCATATTAAAGTCCAGTATTATCTTCATACAACTAAACTCATATACATCTCAATATCAGTATCTTTAATATATTCATATATACATAAAAGTACTTAGTCTTATACATTTTATTAAAACCTAGAAAGAGGTTCTACAGAAAATATAAACATTCTACCATCAATTTTTAAAACACGACAAACACAAAAATCACTACTTGAGAATCATTTCTTAGTGATAAAATTCGTTTTCCCTGATATTTTACAGACCTTGGAATTAATGCTACCAATTGTATGTTCGATATCTACTTCCTTGACAACCAAGCTGCTGTTGTGCTTGGGGTGGCACTGTAGCCATCTGAGACTAATTCACTCTCAAGCCCTGCTTGTGGCTGGGGAGGCTGAGTGACCAGTCGCCGCCACAGTGGTATGAGAAGAAACCACTAGGGAGGCCTTCCTTTCCAAGAAAAGGCAGGCATGGGTGTGCTAGGAAACTCTCTTCTTTATCTTGCTTCTTGCCTGGGTTGTGGAAGTGAAATCCACGTTCAAAGTAACAGCCACGAGACACAATGGGGACAGGACAAAGGGTAGAGAATCTGGGCATTCGATGGCACTACCGAGCCAACACACCATTACCCTGCACATTGAGCCAGGTCTGGTGTGGTACCAGGTTACTAAACCACAACCCACCCAAGTCTTTCTAAGTAGCATATTCTGATATTTGCAGGACACTTCTGCCACACACAACCCTTCTCTTATTATTCAGTCCTGTTTCTTCAAGGTTTTCGTAGGTCTCCCCCAAACCTGACAGACACTGCAGGCAATTGCTTATTTAATGTAGGGCAGGGTTACCACACAGCTAAACGGTGCAGCCTCACCCCAGATTTCGGTACATACAAGTGGCCAGAGCCAGCATTTGGGGCAGCAGAGGTGCTGTGGAAGCTGGGTTGCTCCCTTCCCGCCCTTGTAGGGATTTTTAATTTAACCTCTGAAGAAAATGGAGTTGGAAGAGGCAGCCTGAGGCAGGATTTTGAAGAAAGAATTATAGAAATGTTCTTTCCGTGTAGTCTCTACATCTTGAGGTTCTACACGGCGCCTCTCTGCACCACCCGGACTGCCCAGCACCTTCTCTCTCCTCCCCACCGAACTCCAACCCGCCCAGCAGGCCCCCGGTGGGTCTTGCAGAAGCTGGCTTACGAAAATCAACAACCGACAACTGTTGAATGTCCAGAGAGCCTGAGTTGTTGGGGACAAAACCATGCCGAATGCTAGAAGGATCTTCAGGGAGCTTCTCCGAAGCTAGGGTGTAACAGAAATAACTACAAAGTGACAGACTCGTCCTAAGTAAATCCACAAGGTCACTGATTTTGTTTGAAGCAAGCAAAGTGTTTATAATTAAAGGTGGAGGATGAGAAATTGGTAAAGACATATTTAAGAAAGACACTGTTATAAAACTATTCTTAATATGTATTAAAAAATGAATCTTATAGTTATGTTTGTATATTATTTTAAAAAGTAACATGTAGAACTTATACAAGTGTATGTATCATAAATGGTAATTTATCAAAGCTTATTAAGAAATACCTGTGACGGAGTCCCTAAGATTAGAAACAAAATAAATCAAACCCCAGAGTATAAGGGGACAAATGCTGGCGGGAGAATGCATCATTAGCATAATTTACAGATTACCGACCGAGTAGAGGTATCGTTGGTTGAACTGCTGCATTGCTCCCTGCAATTGGTTCCGCTGAGACTGCCACTGCTCAAAGTTGCGAACAGATTCCATGGTTGGCCGCTGCCACGTGGTTGTTCTCGTGTTATGATCCACGTAATAAACTCTTCCACGATCATCAACCCGTCTTTCCCAACTATCCAAATGAAGTTAAATAATCAGAAAACAATAACCTCTCAATGTTTCACTCAAACAATTTAAACAGCAGGTCCAAGACATGATAAAGTAACGTAAAAGGATACATACGCTGATAGGCTTCAGAATCGTGATAAACCGCTACAACACACCTTGCCATTTACTTCTAGGGGGAGTGTAAGGGCTCCCTAAAAGCAGTGCCAGTGCCAACCAGATTCCCCTTCCTCCCTTTGTTCGACTACGTATGGAGCGGGCTTAGTGCGTACTTAGCTACCTGACCTGAGGCCACTCCCAAAGTTGAGAAATTTTACCCTTCCTTAAAAATAGTTTAATTTGGACTAAAACTGTGTATACAGGGATTAGGAGAAAAACGTTTTTATACTCATTTCTCTGCTATTACACTACTATCACTTTATCTTCCTGTGGTACAGATGGAGCCACCTCATCCCACCTGTCACAGCTACTTGGCCTGGTGTAAAAATGAACCTACCCGCCTCTCCAGCCTCTTTTCCCAGGGGACCCTTTCAAGGCACCAGTGAGAGCCAACTCACCGAGACCAGTCCCCAGTGTGCCCTGTGGTTCACCTCTCATCCCGACACGCTAACGTTTCTGCGTTACTTATTGCATCTCATGAAATTCCACTGTTCATGTTGCTATCGCGGGATAGCAATATCACTTGCCTAACTTGCCCTAAATATGCCTTTCACTTCTTAAAAATGACAGGGACCAAATCTGGACCAAACTCTGCAACCACTCTCACTAAGCAATTCATGCCAATGCTTGACAATCTCCTCAGACTATCTAACTGTAAAATACAGTATAATAATAACATCGCATTTAGTAAGCATTCACTACTCATACAGGCAAGTCAACTAAGTAAGGAAATTTAATATGTTTATAGAATTTTATGTTGTACTAAATTGAAATTTTTTAACAAAAGTTACAAGTGTGATAAAACATAAGAAGATCCCTTACCCCGGAGGTAAAGGTTGTGGTCTCTCCCACGTGGTCGTTCGGGTGTTGTGATCCACATAGTAGGTTCTGCCATGAGGGTCTTTTCTCTGCTCCCACCTGAAGTAAAGACACAAAGTAGAAGTAGAACACAGACGCACAGGACAACCAGACCATCAGGAATGTGACAGCCAAGCTTTACTCTGAAAGGTTATCTGTCATTTGAAGTTCGCCTTTTCAAATTATCAGTGCTTTTTGGGTTCTTAATTACTCCCTGCTCACTAACAATACTGAAAACTCAAATACTAAGTCCAGTTACTGGGAAACGGGTAGCATAATCACATAATACCTAAATACTTTAAAAAAATTACTACTTCTCAGAATTCCAAATTATCAGAAAATAGAATTTCAGTCTAATTTTAAGGTCAAAGCATGTAATATCAATGACGCAAATACCCACAGTGTGTCTATTATTTCAAAACGACGTATTTAAAAGATTCTAGGAGAAACTATTCCAAAGAATATATGTTGGCTGCAGCGCAGTGAATAATTTATTGCTTTCTTTCTTTTTTTTTTCTTTCCAAATGTTTATTGGCCATTTGAGTATCCTACTTTGTCTATCTTTTATTGAGTTGTTTACCTTTTCTTTTTAATTTTTTTTTTAACATTTTATTAGGGGCTCATACAACTGTTATCCCAATCCATACACACATCAATTGTGTAAAGCGCATTTGTACATCGTTTCTCAAAACATTTTCTCTCCATTTAAACCCCCGACATTAGGTCCTCATTTTTCCCCTCCCTCCCTGCTCCCCACTCCCGCATGTGCCCTTGATAGTTTATAAATGGGTATTTTGTCATATCTTGCCCTGTCCGACGTCTCCCTTCATCCACTTTTCGGTTGTCTGTCCCAGTTTATTGCTTTCATTATTCCCACCAAATGACTTTTCCCAAAAGGGTCTGGCTGAGGTGGCAGGGGCAGGCACGGATTGCAGTATCTGACTCAGCTCTGGGTCACCGCCATCCCGATGGGTAGGTATAAAGTCAGCCATCCAGGAAGCAGGGGGCGGAGCTCTCACTACCAGCACAATCCCCAGGGCGTGGGGTCCCCACGCAAACCCTCCTTGATTCCGGAGACAGCTTGGACACCAGAGGAGCAGCCCCAGCAGCACCAGAGCCAGGGAGTGGGGCCGAAGGGGATGCTGGTCAGCCTACCGAGCCCGTGGGCTGAGTGCTTTGGGCAGGGGGCTGGCTTATGGAATAGGATATCTCTAGGCACTTAATTGGGGAAGGGGGCTGGGATTGCTGATCCATGAAGATGGGGCTGAGGAGCCGGAGTGCAGTGCCTCAGAGCTGAGGCTTATAGGGGAATGGCGTGCACTTTGGACATTTAATTAGCAACCCTAAACTAAGTTCAACGTCGCACAAGCAAGGCCAGAGACCAATGAGCCGTGTAGCTGAGAGGCCAAAAACCAGAGAAAAGGCTGTCCTGACTGAACAACTGTATCCTGAGGGTTTTCCACCTGAATTGTAACCTGTTACCTTTCCTAATAATTTCCGTCATCGCGAGCACTGTCTGTGAGTGAGTTCTTGGTGGCCACTGCACTGAACTGTCATCCCCCCCGCCCCCCATCCCCATGAAAAGCGGAGCGTGCTGTGGGAGACCCCTCGGGGACACTGCTCCATCACTGCAGCGTTCGTTCTCTGCTGGGCGCTGCGGTGGTTCTTTCTCTGCACGCTTACGCCTGGATCCTTCAGCTAAGCTGGGGCCCAAACTCTCGTTCTTTCATTTCCCCAACTTTCTACTTGCTCACATTGCATCTTCCCTTTCAGCCTTCCCTTAATGTAGAAGAGATGCAAATAATGCTGGTTTACTTTGAGGTAAATATTCCTATTTTCAATTTTCATGTAGAATGAATCAAAAGTATTTCCTTACTCTTAACCATAGGTACCTCAAGTTGATTTTTACTTCTTTTTGAAGTTTTTAAAATGAGAGCCTTTATATCATTTTTACATGACCATATATATATATATTCAAGCTATTCTGTAAATATAGTGTACACATACATACTTAAAATTATCTTTAAAGTTTTTTTAATGATTTGTTGAAGACAGACCTTGCAAATATAAGTCACAAAATGCTAAGTTGTAGCCATGAATATTAAAGACACCCAGGTTTATAACTCCATGTAATAAGTTTCATTTAAACCTATGTATCAAATATCACTATGGTATGAAATTCTGTAGTGGAGTATTCATGCTATAAAATTTTGATGTTTCTTATAAAGAATTTCACTGAATGTAAGTAACATTTGCGCTCATGTCATCTGTTTCTGTGTAATAATAAAAGTTAATGAGAAGGAAGGGTTTAAACATGAAGCTTCGTTTTAAATGTTTCAGGAATATATACCTGAGTATATACAAAGGGGCTATTTTCTGCAGTTTGAAAACCTAACTGTGCAAAACAAGAGCCCATCCCACCCCAAACTTATTAAGTTTCCAAAACTTGTTGGTCGTGGTACTTTTTAGATATTAACTCCTGCAATCAGTCCTGGACCTACCAGGGGAAGCTCCTGAAGGAAAAGATCCAAGCAGAAACCAGAGTAAGCAGTTGGCAAAATCCGATGACCATACTTGCAGCACACAAAGTAGGAGGGGTGTGGACAGCCACTACAATGAGCACATACGGAGCCTCCAGCAGTGCAGTTTCCACAGCTACCAGTACAGCCTGACGCTGTGAACCAATCACAACATGCTCTACTATCATAGAGTGCAGCATGACTTTCCATAGTTTCATTACAGGATTTTCAAATCATAGTGAATTTGTGAGGTGCTTAAAAGTTACTGGAAACGTAGAATTAAAAAATAGTGGAATTAGCCCCTAATAAAATGTTTAAAAGAAAAAAAAAATAGTGGAATTTTCCCACGAACTTTCTAAAGCTATCATGTTTCTTGAGGGCTTACCAAGGGTTCGCAAACATGCGGCCCGCCGAGGGCATTTACCCAGCCCGCGGGTGCTTTTTACTTACTTATTTTCTTACTTCAAAATAAGGTATGTGCAGTGTGCATAGGAATTTGTTCATAGTTGGGTTTTTTAAAACTATAGTGCAGCCCTCCAACAGTCTGAGGGACAGTGAACTGGCCCCCTGTTTAAAAAGTTTGAGGACCCCTGGCTTAGACCATGAATTACTATCAGTACCATCAGTAAAGCATCCCTGGTGGCGTGGTGGCATGCTGGTTAAGTGCTCAGCGGCTACCTGGAAGGTCAGCAGTTTGAACCACCAGCCACATGAGAGAGAAAGACGTGGCGATCTTCTCTGCAAACCCTACCGAGTAAGTTCTACTTTGTCCTAGGGAGTTGCTTTGGTGCACCATCAGGAGTAAACAAAGGTCAGCCAACTAGAGAAAAACAACACTGATAAGCAAATAGGGAAGAGGTGGCAAAACAGAACACATGCACAGAATACTCCCAGAAACTCCTTGTAGAAAACAGAGTGAAACAAGTATGAAATTAAAAGTCACGAATTACTTAACAGTAATGAAAAGCAACTGAGCTGGTAATAGAGCCAACCAGCTGGGTTAGTCGATTGCCCCAGCACCGGTATCAATTGAGAAAACGCACGCTACTTGTTCTGCAGCGTGTGGACCAGAAAGCAGACCACAGAAAAAGCTGGGGAACTGAGGCTAACGTACGTATAGTGTTGCTGTCACTTTTATGCAAAAGTTAAAATAACCTACTGTTCAAATTGGGAAGGACTTATACAAGTTAACATAGGTTTATTTGGTCTTTCCCTTCGTATTGCATTCACTTCAACCAGACGAACAGCTGTTTCCAGTGCCAGCAGACACTGTATTTTGAAGCAGTAACTTACAGATTCACATTCTAACTAGGGACAACGTTAGGCATGGCCGGGTCATCAGAAAGCACTGCCACCTGGGTTCCAGCCCACACATGCGCGGGGGGCGGTTTCCAAACCAGCATCTGGGACCAGGACCTGAGGCTCCAAAGCCGATGACTGAGGCACTGGTGTGATTTCATTAGGGTGCCTTCAAAAAATAAGTGCTGCCAAAACAGTGGCTTCTGAGGGGATCTCCAGGGCACTCAAATCCAAGGAGAGAGAAAAAGCCACTAAGTTATGTTACTGTTTTCTGGGGATGCTCAAGGGGTGGTCTTGATGAGATTTTCACAAAAGACAGGCCAGTCGTGGGGGCTTCGTATGAAGGAAGTTTTTAGGAAAACCAGAGACTGAGTTGGTGAGGAAAAGGTCAAAAACGTTGCCCTGGGGAAATTTTTCTGCCCATCATGACAACGCATGTTTGTTTTTCAAAAGTAACACGGGCTGGCCTACAAAAACTTCAATGGGAACCCTTACTCCATCTACTCTACAGCCTTGATCTTGTTGCTGCCGACTTTTGTTACCCAAGCTCAAAGAACATTTGAAAGGAACCTACTGTATATAGTCGACCCAATATCTGCCGAAGCACCTAATTTTAACACAAAAACGGCAGTAAAAATGTGCTGGAAACACTCAGCTTATACTCGCGTCTGTCCGGCACATTGATCCTCTGAGCATGCCCAAACTGCCCTTTGGATGTGGTGTTCCCGGGGAGGGGATTCTTGGGAGGCTTAGAAACGAAAACACTGCCGCCAGACATGGACAACCCTAAAGGGAGGCCATGTCAAGAAATAACAGCCTGACATTTTGATATTTTTTATGTAATAACGGTTTCTATGCATTTTTGATAGCAATATCTTTTGACTTACCTGCATACACTCTATAAGCAGATTCACACTGTTTCAAAAATATTGCTACTTAGATCTACATTAAATTAAAACAGAAACCCAGCGTACCCGGACGGCAGAGTTTCCGCGCTGCTATGTCCAGACTGTTGCCGCGTAGGCTCCACACACCCATCTGACTGTCTTATTTTGGCTGCGTCCACAGAACTATTTCCAGAACCGGAGGCGGCGGGATCTGATGTACTTCTCGCTTCGGGCTGCGATGCTGCACTGGTAGAAGGCATACATTCAGTGTTCTCTGAGGAAGTTGGTGTTTCTTGAACGGAAGGATCTTCGACAGCAGCACTAGTGGAACTCGAAGACAAGGCGCTTTCTTCAGAGGCGATGGCAGTCCCCGTGGCGGCTGAATGATCGGGTGGTGCAGGTGAGGGTGACGCTCCATTAACTGAACAGAGGAAATGAGTAAGATGATCCACCAAGTAATGATGGAGAAATCAACTAACTAATCAACTATATTTACTTAGAGCCTAAAAAATATGGCTAATTACTTTTAAGTTACTCATAGCTGAGGAATAAACAGCACATAAATGATGAAAAATATAGCATAAGGAAGCATTAGGATATACAAATGTTTAGTTTTTGAATGAGTAATTCTAAGGGAAAGTCTACATGGGCTGTATACGCAAACTTAAAAATAATCCTTACCTCTTTTTTGTTACCTCCTGCAAATGGTAGGTTATATCTAAAGAACTCTGCCAATAATGGGAAGTATATATATTGCTGAGAGTGTTGAGGAAAAAAAATCCAGGAACACAGAAATAACACAGTACTGGGGCCTGGTGACATAATTTCATTTTCACATTAAGTGTGATTCACACATTTCAACTATGGACCAAAAAATGAGCCAAAACTGTAAAGAGAATAGACTATTGAACAAAATCTATTAGTAGACTAAACATCAAAGTTCTGTGTAGCATACAGGATAGAGAGTACTGTGTAATGAGGTCTTTGGGTAGATTTCTAAAGAGGGAAATAAAAAGACAAATGGTGGGAAGGAGGAATCGTTTGTGCAAAACAGTAAGAGGCAAGTCAATGAAGTTCTCTTAACAGTGAAGAGAAAGGCTCTAGGGAAGGGATGATCAATAACGAGTTCAAGAAACAACATATTTACAGAGCTACTCTGTACCCAACACTGAGAGATCGGGGGAAAATCAAATAAGTATGTGAACAGAGACGCTAAATTCTGGTGTCTCCGATAGTATGCTCACTTACAAACACTATTTCACTTAAATTTTCACTCTTGAGTAGTGGAGAAATTAGTTTCTACAAAAGAATAGATTAGCAGCAGTCTTTTTCAAAGCAAAACAGCTTTAAATGGGAAAAGAGGTTTATCTGATATAATCCAGTCCAACAAGAAACAAACAAGTCTTTGTGAGCAGCAAAACATAGCACATGAAGCAAACTGTTAGAAAAATAAATGTTCAATGGCATCATTCTGCTCAAGGCTAAAACTTTACTTTTCGTATCTTATTTAACAGCAAATGTGCTCATTCATCCCTTTTGTCTTTATCACTACTCCATTTAGGGTTAATTTTATGGGAAAATCAAATAGGTAGTTTTCCTTGATTCCTGAGAATTTCTTCATAAACCTTAACATATCCCGAGTGGTTGAAATGTCTTTTATTTGTAAGAGTTCCCCATCAGGCCTGACCAGCTATGCTCTGAGGTGATCCAGGTGAGCGCTAGCGATGACAAAAAGACCCAGCCTGTGGCATTAGCCAACCTCAGGGAAGGGGGACATGATCCAAGCAATCGTGTGTACATAATGAAGCCCCAATACAGGTTTTAGACAGAGAGATCCCATGGACTTCTGTGATGATCTTTCTCCAGGGACTGGTCCCTCCAGTTGGTTGGTGAACGACATCAATGCATGTGGGAGGGAAGCATGGCTCTCTCTAGGATCTTGGAAATCATTCCAGACCACTCTACAAACCTCTACCCCTTTACATCCCTCTACCCCTTTATATCTTGCTATAATAAACTTATAATCATTAAGTTAAGTATTTCCCTAAGTTTCATTAGTTGTTGTTATGGCAAACTATCAAACTCACAGGAATACCAGCATTGTTGTGATTTCAGGTAAAAAAATGGATAATTACTTTGTAAATCCATAAAAATGTTCTACTCTACATACAACTGATTTGGCACCCAAGGGTTATAATAGATATTTTAGATCAATTGGCCACTTAACAATCAAAATAATATTGTCCCCACTCTAGATAAACCCAAACCCAAACTCACTACCACATGTTGAAACTGACTCATAGCCACCCTGTAAGTCAGGGTAGAACTGTTCTTGTGCATTTCTGAGACTGTAACTGTTTATGGGAGTAGAAAGCCTCATCTTTCTCCTACCTAGTAGCTGGTGGTTTCAAACTGTGGACCTTGCTGATTGCTGCCCAACTCATAACCACTTTGCAACCAGGGTTCCCATCGTTCTAGACATGTAATATGTTACAATCTCACTACTGCTACAACTTCCAACAAGGTAGAAAAAATGGTTTTTGAAGTCGGATTTAAAAGGAATACTGCTTTGAACCAAAGTGAGTAAAGGGCACGGGGCTCACCCTCCTAACAAGGGCTGGGAGACCAGACAGCTGTGTGGCAGAGGCCAACAACGTGAGGGCAGTGGAAGTCCCGACACAGCACAGGTGGAGGTCAGATTGTTTCAAGCCTATGAGAGCGTGAAAAGGGGCAGGTACAGCTTTGTGACACTATCGTCAATGCATCAAAGTCAAGAGGGAAGCAAAGTGCACAGTCAGGAGACACAGCACTGAAGGAGAGCAGCCGGGGCTCTGTGCTCCAGGTCCTTCAATAGAAGAAAAGGGGCAGGGAGAGGACTCCTAATTCGTACCCATTCCATAGGAGAATTGTGAGATTAAATCACTTAAAGCATATAGTGTCCAAAACATATTCAGCACAAATGTTACCTATAACCATTATTATAATTCAAAATGGTGTAAGTTTTCTTACAATTGTTTTGTACGTCACTGGGATTATTTATGGTGGAGCATTTGTTTCTAGTTCTGCTTATGTGTATTTTGTTTTCCTTTTGAAATTTCCAACAGGGATAAATATGAAACAAAGGTGGAGAGGGCATTTATTCCCACTGGCAAGTCTATAACACTGCCAGAAAAATGAACCGATCTGTGCTGGAAGAGGTATAGCCAGATGTTCTTTAGGGGGAAGATGGCGGGATGTCATCTCATGTACTGTGGACATGTGCCAGGAGGGACCAGTCCCTGGAGAAGGACATCATGCTTGGCAAAGCCGAGGGTGACAAAGAGGAAGAGCAACACTGTGATGGGCTGACATGACACAGTGACTGCAATTTTGGACTCAACTATCACAATTGTGAGGACAGCGCAGGCCCAGGTAATGCTTCACTCTCTACTATGAGGCAGAACCAAGTGGGGGCCTCTACCAACAACAAGTGAATCTATAATGTACTTGACAACCCGTGGTCAATGAATACTTTTGCCAGCCTACTAAAACAATGATATACTCTAGGACTAAGAGGTCCAGACACCTTAACGAGATGGGAAGAATGAAATAGTGGTATAAAGCTTTCTAAAATGAACACTCAGTATTATACTTTTCATGAACCAAGAGTGGACTTAATGTAGGATGGTTCTGCTATGTTATTACTGCCAGAAAGAAACTGATAAACTATTCTGAATCCAAAGATAATCCTATATAATAAATCAACTCATGTACTTGGTCAGATATAAGTATTGTTCCTTACAACCTCTCTGGAGAGTTCACAAGTTACACTGTTTAAAATGCAAAATGTTTCATGGGTAGGGTAGTAAAGTGAAATTTCTAAACATAACTCTTCTATCCATGTCTCCGTATCTCCAGCAAATGACTGGGTAGAACCACACAAAGAGATCTGTTAAAAATAAATAGCGGGGACTGGTCTCAGTTTTAGCTGCCATTCCCTGATTGCAAAAGCAAGCCAATTCAGAAAGAAAGAATCCCTGGGAATAACTATCAAAGAAGAAGAGCCAGCAATGGAGCATATTTGAAATCCCTGCCTGAAGCGGCTGAGTGAGCAGAGGCCATGCCATGCCAACACCAGCCGTCAAGGCAGGCAGACCATGAGACAGAATGGAGCAGAAGCACCGAGACTACGAAGCTGAGAGGCGCAGTGGCAGGCAGGCTTCCTGGACCATGGATGCAGAAGCCATGGGACCACATGGCTAGAGGTTGAGGACCAGAGAAAGGACTTGGCTGCTGGCTA